CATTAAAAAACATTAGCCAAAGCCTCATGTGGTATAGAAGATCTGGTTGGCTGCCTTTCTCTGATCCACTGATCAGAGGCTCTTGCACCACTGTGATGGAGAAGCATAAATAGCATGAAATTAACTTACCATTGGACTCAGGGAGCCACAGCTTCACCAAAAAATTAAATATTTAATCAGTCCTATTAGATTGTTAAAGACTAAATTCACCTTTGAAACATGCTACATGTTCCACTTGTATTTAGGGTGGAACATGTAACATGTTCCAGCTCCAATCCCCCCCCTCCCTGTGACAGCAAGCAGGGGGTTTATCTCCCCACACCTGCTGTCACTTTTTTTAAAAATAGTGCCACATTGCAGGGCTCCACCCCACACAACCACATTGTCCCTTCACAGATTCCTGTAAATGAATAAACTACAAGTACCATCTAATAAATTAATCCAAAAGAGAATCTTCCCTCTTTTAACAAATATTCTACCTATATATACAACAGCAAAAATTTCCCCATATAATTATATACGTGAACTACCACAAAATCATAAAGTCCAGTGTCTCAGTGAACAAAACCAAATCATAAAAGTCCAGTGTCTCAATAATCAAAATGGTAGAACTAAAAAAAGGATGTGTTTCTTGCAGCGTTGATTGTGTTCAATGATATTTGTGAAAAACCTCAAAAATAAAGAAACTCACAATAGTGCATTACCATAACATAATCACAAAAAAAAAAATTTTTTTTATATATATATATATATATATATATATATATATATATACACACCTATATATACGCATATACATGCACACACAAATGTGTATCATAAGATTGTGCAACACTAAGTGATATAAAATAGTGAAACACTTGTGAAAAAACCTTCCAAAAAGGATAATAAAACACTCGTGCTCAAAAATTATGAAATCCTGAAGTGATTCACTCAGTGAGACTCCTACCCACACGTGACACTTCTAGTGAGTAAGGCAAAATATACCCTTACCAACAGTAGAAAAAACCCACGCCTTTATAGTATAATTTGTAGAGATCCTCCAAAGGAACTTTCTCCTCCTCTCCTCCTTCACTTATTGTTAGGGTAATGTTGTAATGCCATCCACATTCACAGGTCTATGATCATGGATTTACCAGGCTCCAGTATAATGGAAATTAACCATGACGTACCTCCATGTATATTCAGAGTAGTAACATTTTAATGAATCTGCTTACATTTAAAATTCAAATTTGCGATTTGGAACAAAACCCCACTTTGTGGGGATTACCAGGCAGTTCTCACAGTTTCCCAGGCAGTTCACACATGAGTATCCAGCGATTTCCCAACAAAGATGGCCGCTGTAACACTTCCGGTTCCTGCTCCTTGCGTATGACGTCACTTCCTCTTGACGCGTTTCGTCACATCTGGGACTTAATCATAAGAGAGAGACCGTGGGAGATGGACTTGCAGTTTGAATTAACTGGTTGCGCGCTGATCAGAAACTCGTAGTTCATTCACATTGCCTAGAGCTGTGAAAATGACAGCCCATACAGAGGTATAGGCAACAGAACTGCAGGCAGTGTGTGCAGGAGCCTGGCATTGCACCCATGATGTGCTGATTGTGCATGCAATACTTTGCAGGCTTCTGTTTTAAAATATAATAAATGCACATTTTTTACCTGCAAATATACGCATTATACGCAAAATATGTGCATTTTTTTTTATATAAAAATGAATTTGGCCTTCAGGCAAGGGTAGACCATCGGTCTTTTTAAATGCTCAGTAGGGGGCATCATTAATATACAGTCATACATTTGTGGAGGAAAATAGCACTCTTGATGGTGTTGGAATCTAAGTTCCTGAATACAATCACGATAGCACAGAGGGTGAATCTTCTTAACAGGGGCACAGCAATAAAAATTAACAGGGCTTCTAATCCCTGTCCACTCTATTTAAAACAAACAAAAAAAAAGGTTTTGCCTAAATTATACTTTCAGACAAACCCTCTTAAGAAGTGGGAATCTGAGGTGTTCCAACTCCTTTCTGATATCACAGGCATACTAGCAAAGCCAAATCCAGCACTAGTGACCTCGAACCCAGGAATAGAAAGGTTTTCTAGTAGGTATCGCACTGTTGTAGCACATGTCCTCTTAACAGCAATAACAGTTATAACAAGATACTAGAGAAAGGAGCTATAACCCAATTTATCTGAAGATATTTATTTATTACAGGTACTTATATAGCGTTGTCAATTTATGCAGCACTTTACATAAATTATACATTCACATCAGTATCATTCCCTTCCCTCAAGGAGCAATCCAATGTCCCTAACTCACATTCATACTAGGTAAACAGAAACCATGTAACCTACCAGCATGTCGTAGGAGTGTGGAAGGAAACTTGAGTACCCGGAGGAAACCCACACAGGGACAGGGAGAGCATGCAAACTCCAGGCAGGTAGTGCCATGGTTGGGATTTGAACCACCGATCCTAGTACTGCTAGGCAGAAGTGCTAACCACTTAGCCACTCTATAGCCTTAATACATATTCATTATGCATACGAAAGATCAATCTCTGTTAGAGCAGATTCTCTGGTTGAATTTGAAAACGCTTGGAAACCATGGATTGTTATGCCAGGAAAGGCCTGGACAATTCATTCAGTCAGCTAAAAGTGCCTACAAATATAAAAATAATTTAACTGACTTAAATATTCTGAGTTAATTTTTAGACAAAAAAAAATCTTTTAGAACCCAAATAAGATCAGTGAGTGAATATGAACTACAAATCATTGTGATGCACATAGACACTCAGATAATTCACATAAAAGTACCAAAATGGTCTGTAACAAAATATTACATATGTATCTATGATGAATTAAATTCACTATTTAATTTCTCTTTGTACACAAAATTACCAATGAAAACTAAGTATCAGACAATTGTCTGTGTTTTATGGAATTCAACTGCTGTTATTCCTCTGCAGAAGAAATAGGCATCAAACTACGCAAAACTGTATGCCAATATAGCCCAAGAACAGAAAAATAATAAAAAATATTACCAGGATGGACTGGTGTGATAATTGTGCAATTGGTTAACAGTATTTTGTAAATGTCGAGCGTAGGCGAGTGCTGGAACTAAAGCAGCTAGCACAAAGGTATAGGCAACAACTCTTTATGGATAAAATATAGAAAGTGCAGCGCTAAATAAATGAATGATATTGTAGTGAAATAGTAAAGTGCAGTGCCAATATGACATATGACAAAAATAATCAGCGGAACAGTCAAATGCAGCAAATGAAAAAACATATGAAAATCAATAAATCATTCAGTAAGTGTGGAACAGTAAAGTGCAGTATATAAGATGGAAATAAATGAAGTCCATAAAAATATCAGTGAAGTAAGCACTAAAAACCAAAATTGACCATAAGAACATAAGTGTGGCAATCACGGTGAAACACTGAAGTGATCCAATAGGGAATCCACCACCTCTGTCAGATGTACACTGACCTCTACTAGTAAACAGCATGTAAGCACATCTCATGTAGACATAGGAACCAGCAATGAAGCCTCTGTATAGAGTGCTCAGCCAATTTTGGTTTTCAGTGCTTACTTCACTGATATTTTTATGGACTTTACTTATTTCCACCTTATATACTGCAATTTACTGTTCCACACGTATTGAATGATTTATTGATATTTGTGTTTTTTCATTTGCTGCACTTGACTGTTCCACTGATTATTTTTGTCATTATATGTTATATTGGCACTGCACTTTACTATTTCACTACGATATCATTCATTTATTTAGCGCTGCACTTTTTATATTTTAATAGTATTTTGTGACTAACGCTTGGAACCTGGTGTAACATTGTAACGCCCTGCGTGTCATCTATACTGTCTTTTTTTATACCCTAGCAGGGATCTTGTTTCTTTTTTTGTTTTCTATTTGTAAAATTCAATAAAGATTTATGGAAAATAAATATTTCCGTGATAAACATAGACTCTAGGGACAGAAAATCAACAGTGTAATCTTTTAACACCATAGGGGCCTTTTCATGTGGGCTTTGTCTGCTCCATTCAGCAGGGGATCCATGAGCAGATGCTGAAATGGAGCTGAATGCGACAGATATCAGTTTTTTTAAATCTTTGCTTGTTGAGTTTGTGTCCTCATTTACACAGTGGACAGAGGCAGACCTGTGACTGCACTGGTGGTGTCCGGATCTAAACGAACCTATCTGTTTACATCAGGCTACCTCTAATCCATTACATTTAGGTCCAGAAAAATGGAAAAGGACGCAGTCCTTATCCTTTTTCCCAACCTGGATGGACTTGGAGGTAGATGGGTGTAAATGGACACAAGTACATTTACATCAGCGTGCCAATGGACCCACATGGAGCTCCCGATCAGGTCCACCTTAGAAACGGATAGGCGTACCGTATTGGAAAGCTTGTGTGAAACAGCCCTAGGTCTTGCACTGCCATTGATGGGGGTATATTTTCCCTGTTATATAACACAATAATATATAGTAATAAAGTGTGTAATATTCACATGAAATATAGCTGAAGTAGTTTAGTACCCAAGATACCATGGGAGGTGGCACCTGCCAGTCTGAATGTTAATAAAACACCTCCATATAGAACAGTAGTTCTCAACCTTCCTAATGCCGTGACCCTTTAATACAGTTCCTCATGTTGTGGTGACCCCCAACCATAAAATTATTTACCCAGTAATTATAATTCATGAGTGTCGTTTTACCTCCAATACTGCTGCTTTCAACACAGTAGCTGCTTTTAACAGAGTAGCTGCTTTCAACACAGCAGCGGCTTTCTACACAGTAGCTGCTCTTTACACATCGGAAATATGTGTTTTCTGATGGTCTTAGGGGACCCCTGTGAAAGGGTCGTTCGACCCCCAAAAGGGTCGCGACCAACAGGTTGAGAACCACTGATATAGAACCACAACAACATATAACAACACAAGAAAATAACATTTGTAGTTTGTGTCCCTTGATAATATCAATCAGAAGTGATGAAAGTGCATGTAGTTTTGCACACACTTAGAATGTAAATGTGACAGTGTGGCTTCCTTAGCACAGTAATATACAGCTGTGTCTTCTGGTTTCATCTGAGTGAGTTTGCAATAAACTTCTCCTTTGTTTGTGTCTCTTGTAATTGTAAGACGTCCTTTCATTGACTCTGCATAGTGTATACTTCCATCATGCCATATACCTCCCATCCAGAACAGTCCCTCTCCGGAACGTTGCCGGACCCAGTGTATGGCCCAAACCTTTGAACTGTCAGTGAGGGAGGCACCGGTTACTTTACAGGTGTGTTCCAGTGTCTCGGCCGGTTTGACAGTTGCCGGTCCATACTCCTGGACAGAGATCTGGCAAATGACACCTGTAGAGGGAAAATATGGTCACTGACACAGTGTAGGGTGATTTCATTATAAAATCTGTGAGGGAAAATCATACTTACAGTATATAAAAGATATAAAACAAATAAACCAGAGAAGAATCTTCATCTTTATGATTAGTTAGAATGGAATACAGCCCAATATCTGATTGTAGAGATCTAACTCAGCAGACATTTCTTAGCCATGCTCTGATATTTAAATAGGAAGTTATATGATTTTATTTGCATACATGCATAATGAGAAGCAGGTCCCACCTCCAGATTTCTTGGAAACCTCTTCTTGCCACTTGCCAAATACTGCTCAACCCATAGTACTGTAGGTAATGATGAGTTTTTGGGTAGAGTTTAGCAGGAGAGATATTCTTTTCATCTGAGTACATGTGAATGCTGAAGTGTGGATTGTATGCGCCTCTTTAGGGAAGCATTTGGACTAATCCCTGATGAAGAAGGAAGGGAAGCTGGACTGTATACTCTTAGTTGGGAAAAAGGATGTAAAAGAAAGCCAGAGAATGTGTGAGGATGTGGGTGTCTCCATTTACATAATTTGTAGCTGAGGGGACACTCTTGGAATCTACAGCCCGATGAAGTGTGTGGCATGCATTGCTAATTTCAGTGATGGCCAGGATGACCAGAATCTTTAACAAAGCGCTATAAATATACACTACTAAAACATCTAAACAAATGTTCCTTACTACATAGCCTGATAAAGGGGGATATGTGGCTAGCAACAACAATCCTGAAGTCTCCTCCTATACGTCTGCCCTTTCCCTCTTAAATGGAATTGTCACAGGGGGTACAGGGTCAATGTCACAGCAACCACTGCAGCTCTTACAGATACATCGATGGATATGTGCTATCTTCTATCTTCAGATGCACACAGGTTTTCTGTGCTTAATTTGCCTCTAGAGCCCCCCAATGGAGCCCCATGCCATCCGAGGCCCAATAGCAATTACATACTCTGTCTTGGCTATTGGTACACCACTGTTCCTAGCAATTAAATTGCTTTTCTGCACAACTATCATACAATTTTTGTGTGAATGCAATTCACTTCTCTGTGCAGGGGAAGAATTTCATTACATAATATCCTGTTTCTCAAATTTCCTTTGGAAAACAAAATTGATGCAAGACCCATAATTTGGACTACTGGCTTAGACCTTTTTGTCTTTAAGTACATATAGCAAGCTAAAACAAAGAAGCAAATGTGGATTCACCCCTCTAATACAGTCAGATCGTAAAAATGGTTGCACAGACACAGCTGCATGTTGAAATTTGACAGCCATGCAGGAGCAGCTGTATGCCCCGAATGCAGACAGTTCTGCAGCTGCACCTGCATGACTGTCAAATTTTGTATTCCAATGGTTTTTATTCATTTTAAACAGTATAAAACAGAGGCAACAAAACACGCCCACGCAGGGGCTATCAATTGCACCGATAGAAAATGCATAATAGAGCAGACAACACTCTAATTCCAATAAGGCAAAACGTATGCCCACGTAGGGGCTATCAATGGCACATAGGTTACAATAACATCAGTGAAACTCAGATTATCGCAACTAAAGACAGCTGTCCACTGTCACATCAAAACAAACAGAAAAGGAAAGAAGAAAAGCAGAGAAGAAAGAAAGAGAAAAAACAAAAAAAACAAAAACACACACCAGAGAGCAAGGGTCCATGAGCGCCAAGACTGTCAAATTTTGACATATGGATGTGCCCATGCAGCCGCTGTATTTGCATCCACCTCTACAGCAGGGCCAGATCTAGCCTGTCTGATTTGGGGGTGCAGTAAAAATGTCAGGGGGGCAGAGGATGCAAGGTCAGCAGGGCAGGGTATAAGAATCAGAAGGGCAGTGTACAGGAGGTCGACAGTTTGTACGGCAATGTACAGGGATCAGCAGTGCAGAGGACAGGGTTTAGCACGGCAGGGTACAGGAGTCAGCATGGCTGAAGACAGTGGTCAGCAGAGTTGAGGACAGGGTCACTGCTGGCAGGGCACTTAAGAGATCTCCTCCTCCCCAAACAGCACATAGCAGAGGTCAGTATCCCTCCACACAGTGTGTAGCTGGCTACTGCAGCTGCCAATCCAATCAGGAAATTTCACTGATCAGAACAGCAACTGCAGCCAGCTACACATTGTGCAGATCGATGCTGTGAGGAATCTGATCTCAGCTATGTGTTATGTGGGTAGGAAAAGATCTGTTGAGTGCATTGTGTGCAGTACAGGCAGTGCTGGGACAAGGTCATCTAGCACTCAAGGTGAAGGTGACATACTGCGCCCCCCCAAAAAAAAAAAAAACAGCGCTAATCAACACACTCACCCCCTAAGCATGAATTCCTTCTGCAAACGCAAATTCTACCCAAACAAAAAATGCAAAAACTCCCCATCCTCACAGTCCAAACCCCCCTTCCAGCACAAATCTTTTCCCCTCAATCCACCTTCCAACTCAAATCCGCCCAATCCCTAACAAATCTCCTATGTCCCAAAAATCACCCCTCATAGCACACATCCTCTTTCCTTCCAAATCCCCCCTACTATTACAAACCCTCTCCCCCAAATCTTTTTCCTAGTACAAAACCTCTCCCCCAAATCCCCCCTCCTAATACAAAACCTCTCCCCCAAATCCCTCCTCATAGTACAAACCCTCTCCCCCAAATCCCTCCTAGTAAAAACCCTCTCCCTCAAATCCCCACTCCTAGTACAAATTCTCTCCCCAATCCCCCCACCCTTCTAGTGCAAAAATCCCCACTCCTAGCATAAATCCTTTACCAACGTACCCATCTAGTACAAATCCCCTCTCCTACTACAAAACCTCTCTCCCAAATCCCTCCTCCTAGTACAAATCCTCTCCCCCAAATCCCCCCTCCTAGTACAAACCCTCTCCCCCAAATCCCCCCTCCTAGTACAAAACCTCTCCACCAAATCCCCACCCCTAGTACAAATTCTCTCCCCAATTCCCCCCCAGTACAAACCCCCACCTCTAGAGTAAATCCTTTACCAAATTCCCCCTTCTAGTATAAATCCCCCCTCCTAGCACAAATCCTCCTCCCATATCCCCACTCCTAGCGTAAATCCGCTCCCCAAATCCTCCCTCTTACTACAAATTCTCTTTTAGAATCACCCCTCATAGTACAAATTCCCTCCATTTCTAGCACAAAACCTCTCCCTCAAATCCCCACTCCTAGCGTAAATCCTCTCCACAAATCCTAATCCTACCCTCAGTACAAATTCACCCCCACCCCCCAAAGCCCACATTCTAGTACAAATCCTCCTCCCCAAATCGCCCCTTCTAGGACAAATCCCCTCCCAATCCTCCATCCTTGTGCAAATCCCCCCTACTAGTACATATTCTCTCCCATCCCCCCTTCTAGTACAAACCCCCCCCAAAAATATCCTCATCCTAGCACAACCGCCTACAATTTACCCTTCCCAGCACAAATCCCTGCATACCCAAATCATCCTAGTAGCACATATCATCCCCAATTCCCCCCACCTAACACTAATCCCCCCTTCCAATTCCCCCCTCCTAGCACAAATCCACCCACCCTCCCAAATCCTCCTCCTAGCACGATCCTAACCCCCCCAATCCCCCCCCCCTCTAGCACAAATTTTCCCCAATCCTGCCTCCTAACACGTCCCCACCCCCAATTACCTTTCCCAGCACAAATAGCCCCTACATCCCTCCTCCACGAGCTCCCCCTCCCCAAGTCTTACCAGAGGGAATGACAGGCATAGTGAGGAGATGCGGGCTCTCTGTGATCTCCCCTCCTGTTATAACAGCGATCCTCCATATAGCAGGTTACTTGGGGTCGCTATTACATCTGACAGTACACGGCTTCATTACTCGCCCCCACCTCCTCCAAAGACTGCTCAACTCTTGGAAATGTGGATGGGGCGACTAATGAAGCTGTGTACTATCACAATCCTGTGTAACCTGCTATATGGAGGATCGTTGTTATAACAGGAGAGCCCGCATCTCCTCCCCGCTCTATCCTCTCTACCGCTCCCTGGGGGGCACAGCTGGAATCTTGGGGGGCACAGCCCACCACAGCACCCCCCTATATCCGGCCATGCTCTACAGGCCACCTGCAAGCTGGATGCAGGTGCAGAAACAAAGGCAGTCTGCATGCAGGATGGGTGCCAGCGCTTGTCTCAATGAAGCCTAAATGTTGCCTTGGCCATTATATTGGGTATTCAACGTGAAAGCAGCTTCACCTTATCTACTAAGCTAGGTGACCAGGGGTGGACTGACCATTTGGGAACTCGGGCACTGCCCGAGGGCCCGGGGTCAGTAGGGGGCCCCATGAGATGCCCCTGGTACCTTTCAGAGGCTTTTTTGGGTGTGGTTTGAGTGTGGGCAAGGATACAGGGGCCCTATGATCCCCTATTGCCCGGGGGCGCCATGAGTTGTCAGTCCACCCCTGTAGGTGACAAATCATTTTGGTAAACAGATGCTAGTCCTTTAGTAAACAGCGACACGTGATCTTTGTGTTTGCCTTTGTATGTTGCATAGCAAGTGAGTATCTGGGTAATGTCATTTTTTTTTCTTTTATTTGCTACTGCTGTATATACCTTTTTGTCCCTATATCACACATACCTTTTTGGTTGATCCACCATCAAGGTAATCATGAAATCTGCATTGCCTTGTGGCTGGTTCTGCAACCCCTTGTGAAACCACAGCCAAACAGAGAAATGTGGTCTGATATTAACCATTTGCCCTCCTGAAGATTTACTCCCCTTCCTGACCAGGCCATTTCTGGCATTACGGCGCTGCATTATTTTAATTGACAATTGCGCGGTCATGCTACAAATAGAACTT